CCCCGCCCCGCCCCGGCGTGTTTATAGCTCTTCGGTCCGTGTGCATCAGTCCTGCAGCCCGGATACAGCGTTTGTTGTGGATGCTGCCCTTGAGGCTGGGGTTTATCTTTAGGCTTAATTTCACAACTACTGAGAAGTGCCTTTGGAGAGAGTGAACCCTTTCCGAGGTTTAATGAAGCCTCCTGGGTGACTGGGTCTGACCCCAGGTCTAAACCACAGGTGGCAGTTCCCCCCAGCCTTGGGGTCGAGTAGAGGTTGCTTACCGCTTCTTCCTCTTGTCTTGGTAAAACTATGGCTCCGGCCCCCTTGGAAATCGCGGACAGCGGGACTAACCTGCCTCTCACCCCACCCCCAGACCTGCCCCAGGAGCAGACTTTGGGCGATGACAGTGGCGCTGCCGCCTTCAAGCCGACTCCCCCCGACCTGTCCCCGGATGAGCCTTCAGAAGCACTTTGCTTCCCGACACTAGATAAGGAGGAGGAGGAGGGTCTTGGGGAAGACCCCGGCCCTCAGAGCCCCACCACGTCTCCTGTGGCAGCCAGCCCCGAGCCAGCCCAGGGCCAGGCGGCTGAAGAAGCCCCCTCCCCGGCTGCTGAGGACCCCGGCAGTGACGGGTCTCCGGGCAAGTCCCCTTCCAAAAAGAAGAAGAAGTTCCGCACCCCTTCCTTCCTGAAGAAGAGCAAGAAAAAGAGCGACTCCTGAAGGCCCCTGGCCTGTGCGGACGCCCCGCCGCGCCCGGACCCCCCAAGCCTCCTGTGCCCCGTGTGTTGTCATCTCGTGGAATGGAAAGCAAAGAGCCGCCCTCCTGCCCCCAGCCTGAGCCCCCGCCGGCGTGCCCGCCCGCGCAGAAGGTGCTGACCCAGGGGCGCACTCCGGCCGCACCCTCCAGGTTCCCGCGCCCAGCGCCCAGCGCCTCATGGTCGGCTCCCCCGCACGTGCCCCCGCAGTGGGCTCCGCACCCTGCGCTTGGCTGGAAGCTCCTGGAGGCTTCCGGCAGCTCTGGTTCCTGGCGTCCTGAACCCTGGCCGTCTCCCTCCGCCGTTAGCCAGCGTGTCTGCCTGTAAGCTTCCCTGCCCCTCGGAGACCGCGTCGGACTCCCCGCCTTCTGCCTCGTGCTCACCTGCGCTGACCTGACCCGTAAACACAGCCCTGGTCCTGGGAAAAGACTCAGTCCACGGCCGGCCCGGCCGCTGGGAAGAGGGGCGGGGTGGACACCGGCCTATGCGGGGCCTGACGGCGACCAGAAACGGACGCAGGACCTGGCAGTGGTCTATCCCCAGTCTCGGTCCCTGTCACGGGAGGGCAAGAGCCCTTCCTCTCCTTCCAGCAGATTGGCAGTTGGGTCTGCATTTCTGACTGGGGCGCCAGCGGACCCCTTTGGCTTTAGTTATCTGTGTAGATGGTGCCAGAGCACGGCCTCCCCTCTGCTGCCTGCGTTTCAGAACCGAGGCAGAGTCTGTCCTTAACACTGCCTGAAAGAAACCCTGGTTTCCAAGGTACCTCGAAGTTGTAGGCGACTTCTGTGGTCCCACATCCCAGTCACCTAGGGACCGGCGGGCAATACCTCCGAGAGTCACTCAGTTCAGTCACGTCCCTCGGAGTCCATGCTCAGGAGATGGTGGGTGCCAGGTGGCTGAGGGGTGGGCAGCAGATGGGCCCACTGCTGGGAGACGGGTGGACAGGCCAGGCAGCCTGGAGGGGGTTGGTCCTGGCATGGGGGGGCTGAGCCTTCTTGGGATGTGAAAAAGACCCCGGGCAGGCCTGGGCTGGCTGCACGGTGCCGAGGCTTGGAGCTTGCATGCCCAGCCTGGGGGGCCTGCCGCCCTGGGCGGCTTCTCTTTTGCTGTGGTGTTTGGTTGTCACGGTGGGTCCAGTTCTGCGCCGTCACTGTGTTCAGTCACAGCAGGCTCCTCGTGTCCCCTCCCCCTGCCCACATATGCAATGACTCACTTTCCACTTTTGTAGCTTGCGTTAATTCTTTGTATTCCAGTAGGAGCTGTAGTCGGTGTAGGGACACAGACTGCAGGATGGCTCCTGGCCACCCTTTCTGCATCGTAACGTCGTTTCACTCCCCAATAAAATTCTCTAAGCAGTTTCCTTGGCTAACCCGGGAGCAGTTTCATGTTGGATTCCTTCCCTTTAAGATGGGATTTCCAGAGAAGCTTGTCCTGTGTCCCCAGAAAGGCTCTGCGGACACATGGTTGATGAAGTACGCGTAGCTTTGGACTGCACACACCTCTGTCCCGCACCCCGAAACTTCCTGGGGCCCCTGCCAGGAGCCGGAGCTGCCGGCTGAGGCCCACATGCAGAGCGGCACGCTGCCCTGCCCGCCTGCGCTCCACCCGGTGTGCAAAGATGGGGTCTCTGTAGCGTGGTGCTGCTAGCGGGCAGTGTGGGCAGAGCAGCCCCCGAGCCCACCGGAGCCCCGGGAGTCCTCGGGACCCCCCCTTACTGTGCAGAGGGAGCCAGCAGCTGCTGGGGGAGGGGTGGGGACGGACCAGGCACTCGGTACAAACAGCTGCTTTATTATTCTGTCATGTAGGAGTGTGACATTACTGCAGACCGTGGCTAAAAAGCCAGGGACGCTGGTCGGTGCAGTAAAACTTGGGCCGGGGCCTGGTGCAGTCCAAGGCTCTGTGCACAAGCGAGGACACAGGGTGGCCTGCACCGCTGCCTGGGGCCCGAGTGGCCCAGGGAGGAAGCTGCGGCCCTATGGTTGGGGACCTCCCAACAGTGGAGCAGTGAGCAGGCCCAGCTACTCGTCCTTGAGGGGCACTGGCTGCAGACCCCGCAGGAGCAGGAACGGCAGCAGGAAGAGGCCCGCACACGCACTGAAGCAGACCCGAGCGCCGGCCAGCCAGTACACTGTGGGGGCAGAGCCAGCCTCAGCGCCCCCGGCCCCAGAGACCGGGCCGCGGCACTGACAGGGCAGGCGGGAGTGGAGGGCGAGGCTGGAGGGAGGGGAGTGGGGGCCGCGGGCACGCCCGTGCTCACCCGAGGCAGCCACAATGGGCCCCACCGCCCGGGCCAGGGCGCCCAGACTCCGCAGCGTGCCCATGACGGTGCCCTTCTGCCCTGCTGAGCCTGGGGACAGGAGGTGGATCAGGTGCGGGCCACGCGTCCCACCCACGCCCCCCCGGTCAGGGCGGGGCCTCACCATAGCCGGCGACCACGGAGGACAGGCAGGGTACCACCACAGCGGCCGCTGAGGAACAGGAGAGGTGAGGCGGGCGGGGGCTGTAGGCTGGCGCCCCCGCCCCTCCCGGCCCCGTGGGCCCACTCACCGAAGGAGTAGAGCAGCAGCCCCAGGCCCAGCGGGGGCAGGGAGCGCCCCCAGCCGAGGAGCAGGAAGGCGGGCACCAGCAGCAGGATGGCCTGGGAGACGGCAGGCCTCAGCCCCGCCCCTGCCCTTAGCGCCGCCCCGCCGCCCCGCCCCGCCTCGCCTCCGGGAGAGGCCCCCGGCTCCCTACCCGCTTCACTGCCGCGAGCTCCCGGCCCGGGCGGACGCGCCGGGCGTAGGCGCCCTGGACGGCGGCCATGGTGAGGCCGATGGAGAAGAACATCTTCCCCAGCTGCAGGCTGCGGGGGCGGGGGCGCACCGTGATCCTCCACGCGCCTGGGCCAGGGACGGGCCAGGCTGGCGGGGCCCCTACGAAGGGGAGGGTTTGGGCAAGAAGGGGGCAGGCCCCTGCCGCACCCACCTGCTGAACTGGAAGCGCTCGTGGGCCAGGAAGCTGAGCGTGTACTCCAGGCCCGAGAAGAGGAAGAGGTAGAGGAAGTAGACCAGGCCCAGGCGACGCAGGCTGCGGATCCCTGGGGAGCAGGTGGGTGGGCGGAGGGCAGGGCCACCAGGGCAGGTGCCCGGGCAGCCCACAGTGCCAAGGAGCAGAGGCGCTTACTGTGGCCGGCTGGTGGGTCCTGACCGCGGGCCACAGCCGAGAAGTGCAGCAGGGCCAGGGGGCTGAGCAAGTCCATGGTGGCTCGGAACCCCGGAGTGACGGAGGGCGCCTGGTGGGAACGGGGTGCAGAGGCCTGCCGCGGAGACCAGCACTGCCGGCCCCTCCTGGCGGCCTGGGGATGGGCGTGACCCCGACTTGCTGAGCCCCGTCCCCTGTGGAAGTACTGGGGCCCTAGGAGCCTCTGGTCACCTCCCCTGGACCTCCCGACCGGCCCCCGGTGCCACACTAGGGCCTACCCGCCGCTCTGGGGGCAGCGTCTCCGGCAGGAAGCAGAAGACGAAGAGCAGATCCGATGTGGCGAAGAACAGCGCCAGCCAGGGTGCCGCCTCCATGGGCAGGGAGGCCCCCAGCAGAGGACCCAGTGTGAAGCCCAGCGAGAAGGCCACCCCGATGACGGCCTGGGGGGAAGGAGGCCTTCAGCTCCGGCTGGACACCAGCGGGCCCCGCCGGCCCCCGGCCCCCGGCCCCCGGCCTGTGCGCACTCACCATGCCTCGGCCCCGGGCCTCCGGCGAGCCCAGGTCCGCGACAATGGCAGTGGACAGGTTGACGTTGCCCTTGCTGATGCCTCCAATCACCCTGGAGGCCAGGAAAGCGGCGAAGCCCTGCGAGGCGGCCCACACGGCATAGGAGGTGGCTAGACCTGCCTGTGGACCAGGCCCGACAAGGCACAGGTGAAGGGCAGGCTGTGTGAGGCGCCAAGGGCCCGGAGTGGGGCTGGCGAAGCCGGGCGGGCAGCACCCTCGGCCTCCTGCCCTCACTCCACTGGGCACGCGCCTAGACTCCGCGCCAGCACCGCCGGAACCCACGTGCAGGCGGCGGGGCCCTCAGTGGCCACAGCGCCCCCCGCGGGCCGACCCGTGCGCAGGCACCCACCAGACACAGCAGCATCACCGGGCGTCTCCCCAGGCGGTCAGAGGCGGCGCCCGAGAGCGGGGCCGACAGGAACTGCAGGGCGGAGTAGCCGGAGCCCACCACACCTGCGGGAGGGAGCCGGGGGTCGCGGTCACGGCGGTTGGCCAGCCCCGCCCCGAGGGCTCCGGCTCACCCGGTCTCAGGGCCGCGGGCGTGAGCACAAACGTCCACGACGCCAGGACCCCCACGGGCCCACTCGGGGGGCCGGGCGTACCTCCAAACAGGACGCTGTTGTAGCGCCTCTCGGCCGGCATCCCGATGGCCGCGGCGAACCAGTCCACGCCGCGCTGCCACGAGCCGTAGAGAGGGTCCTGGGAGCACAGGGGGCGTGATGGGGGCAAGCCCGGTCAGCCCTGGGGCCCGGGTGGGGCGCTCCGAGTGGGGCGCACCTGGGCGCGGCCGTGCGCCTCCAGCAGCCCGGGCAGCAGCGGCAGCAGCAGCGTGAAGGCCAGGAGGTCCAGCAGGAGACCGAGGAAGAGCACGGTGAGCACGCGGCGCTCGGACGCGGGCTGCGGGCGGATCGGGGGGCGCGGGGTGCAGCCTCCGCCCTCGCGCAGCCCCATGCTGCCTCCGGCCTGGCTGCGGGCTGTGGGAACGCGTGAGGGCGCCCTGCCTGTCACCGGGGACACACAGCCCACCGGCCCCCACTGCAAGGGGACGACAGTCGGCCCAGAGCTGGGGCTCCCGCGGGCCCCTCCCCAGCCCCGGCGCTGAGGGAGCGCGCCGGCCGGGCGGCAGGAAGCTCAGGTTGCGCAAACCAACGGCCCGCACGGCGGCCAGCCGGGCCGGGCAGGGGCCATTTGGCTGGTGCCGCTCCCCACGCCCCCGCGACCTCCTACTGCCGAGTCGACAGGCGCTGCGAGTCCGGCTCCCATGGGGAAACTGAGGCCGGCCTGGGGGCCCAAGGACCGGGCCCCATCCCGCGCGCCCCCGGCCCGGCTCAGCCTCCCCGCGGGGCCGCGCCGCAGACGCCACGCACCCCCTCCCTCCCC